AAAAGCTTCCGCCATTAGATCCACGCCGCTCGTTTAAACTTCGACTTGCTCGAACGACTTTAAACGCCGGAAACGGGCCGCGACGGCCGCGTCGTGCAAGAGATTCAAATCCGCTGGATTCCATTCAGCTCGATCGAAGAGAAATCGACTAATTTTCTCGTCGTCATTTCCAGGGATTGAAAAGGTTTCGAAAATGACTGTTTGAAACTGCTGTGACTGAAACAGTTATGCAGAACTGAAATAAGTCATAACCGTTATTCGGTATGTCGGTTCCGGTTCTTCCGATACAATATCGATGTCTGAAACGGTTATTTAACTGTTATTCTTCGATTAATTTCGGTCATTTCCGTTCAGGTCAAAAATCGCGCACTTCAAGAGGATTCGCGACATTCGGTATTCCTTGGATTTTGAAAATAGAAAGTCTAGATCGTCGAGGGACGGGGAAAACGAGCGTGCCGCGGCAGTGGTGGCGGCCATTTTTCTCGGCCGACAGGCTCGCAAAAGTGTTTCGTGTCCGGGACTCGTTCCCGAACGGACGTAATTCTCGGTCCTCGGAAATTACCGGGCATTACGCGCCGCGACCAACGTCGTTCTCCGTTTTTCCGCGACTCGGGCAAGTAAAACCGCATGCTCTCGACGTTTCTCGCGTCGCGGAACGCGACTACGGCCGCGGTCTTTTGCTTTCCACGAGTCAACGTCCTCGGTTTTCACACGGCGAGAAACGTTTCGTGGATCTACCGAGAGATCCGAGCTGGCGAAAGAAAACCAAGTCGTCGTTATTCCTGTGTTTTCTTCGCGAAATCATTTCATAGATCTAGGAATGACGCTTGAAAAACGGACCCTACTCCATTTTGGAGTCTTGGCTGAAGAAGTTAGACTCATGATGAAGAATAACCATTTCAATAACCATGAGTCTATACAACTGTATTTGTTGTTATTTATGTTTTCTATAAGAAATAATTATGTGAATCTTTGAATTATAGTTGAAAAATAGTCTTTATTCCATTTTGAAGCTATAACTTGAATAGCTTCGTTTACATATAGTGAAGAATGAAAGCTACAAGTTCAATAAACATAAATTTTGAGTGAATCTTGTTCACAAGTGAAAGCGCAGTACAGCTTCCTTTGTATGTAGATAATATACTTTTATTTCAGAGAAATTCGATGCCCGCAGGATGTTCACGTAACATCTAGGTTTTTAAAAGGAAATTTCCAGCGGGTAAACACCAAGTAGAAACTTCTTTGCTTTGAAAAGAATCTGTACATGCTCGGAGTACTATTTGTTTAATTTAATTATTTTGAGCGGATACATTTCCACGTGCGTTTCATTCATTCGTCGCAGCAGCGTATCAAAAGTGAAAGTGTCTGCACACAGCGGCGATCGAATTCGTTCCACGGAAAAGGAAGAAACTTAAAGGGAAGCTTCCATGATTTTCCACTCGAAGGAACCAGCGACTGGGAACTTTCATTGCTCTCGAGTTTCACTCTACTTTTCCGTAAATTTTCCATGGACTTTCATCGTACCCACACCGCAAGGGAAAGAAACGTGTACATTCCACAAAAATAAAGTGGAACTGATCATTAATCCGCTGTATCAGAAATGTATCATTCAAAACACCGCTCGATCGTTTAATGTATCGCTCGATCGGTTACGAATATCGCCGTTATTCGATAACGGATTGCGATCTAGATTGTTGATAAGGTTCCTAGGTATCCAATTATACTTAACGTTCTTTTTATTCCTTCACGGAGCGTGCACACATATTTCCCAATAAGACTGCAAGAAGTTTGCGCTCGAACGGGAAAACATACCGAACGATCGTTTGCAAATTCCCGGGTCCCGAGCGACCCACCCTGATCGCGTTCACCGGACATCGAATATCGATCCCATAGTTTAGGAGCCGCCTGTGCGCTAGGAGAGCACACGAGACGGAGAATACGGTATCGGTCGGATTTCCTCGGGCTCTCGCTAGGCGAGAGGAGCTCACCGGCGGCCATTGTCCCCGATCGAGCTCTCGATCAGAGATAGTCAGGTATGTGACTCGAGGGGAAAAAGGAAAGGACCGTCCAGCTGGAACTCGGGCGCACTCGTGCAAGGCGATTCACAACAAAGAATAAAGAAACCTAGACGCACCTGTTGCCGCGCAGGACGCTACGCGATTTCTCGATAGCCACGGTGACAAAATTTTTACCAATCATCGGACGCGATCGCGGCTGATTCGAATCTGATTTTCGAACGAGATTTAGTCAAACTGCTTTTCCATCGGCTAACATCCAACTGCGTGCAACTTTTATTCTCGAATCCGTTGTGAAGGTGCTTAACGTGTGATTTTGGAGCAATTCATTCAAATTTTCGCGAGAATAAAATATATAGAAGAATGTAGAATATGGAGTTATAGAATATAATAAAAATGAGAAGATACAGTGATAAATTGAATAAATTACTCGATGGGAACATTCGATAAAAATTTTCAACATGCTTATCGATGCAAATCGTTTCGTGCTTCTGTAATTTTGTTTGTTTTCGAATTTCGTGTACACGATGAAAACATTATTATCTATTATTATAAGTGTCGATGCTATCTACCTCGAAAAAACGAAACGCAAGCTGGTGGGATAAAGAAATACCCATTTCCCGGTTACTATAATTTCGTGGCTAATTGATCGTGATAAATGTTGCCGCGGCGGATGCTACCTGATCATTGCAACGATATACTGCTCGGATAGCACACCGGGGGAAACAAGTGGCGTATAAGTTGCTCGGATCACAAAATATTCGTATTTTACGACCACCGTGATTTTGTAGTCGGTTGATCTCGATAAATGTCGCGCCGGATGCGGACCGACTTCTTGAAACGACGTGTATCCGGAATAAGATTTACGGGGCGGGTTAAGTGTATCTGGTTCTTGGATCGCGCAAAAATGCCTATTCACGATCACAATAATGTTGCGAGCTAATTGATCGTGATAAACGATGCTACCTGAAACCTCGAAACGGCTCGCATCCGGCACGAAATTCCCTAGCATTAAAACGGCACCGAGTTAAACGGATAGTGTATCTTCGGGATACTCAATTTCACAATACGCATTTCAATTTCACCGAGCCGTGGCTTCCGGGTGCTGAGAAATCGTTCCTGGTGAATTGTTATCGTGCTTATATACTTCTGCGGTTTAGCAGCTGTGTACAGTACATAGAAACACGGTGCACCGTGATAAGGATGTCTTCCAAGGCTGGAAACCTTCTCCGAAGACACATCGGGGACCTTGAGGAGTACAGCCGGACAACTAATAATTTCTGCTGGATTACGCTTTCTGTTAATGACCGGTTGCGAGACCAACGCGTACGCGAAATCCGCCGGCATTGTCGGCGAACACGCGAACGTAAAGCCGATAAATATTCCCAATATTCCCGTAACGCGAATCTCGTTCCGATTTAACTTGTCGATTTATCACGTGACTCGGTGAATTATTCCCTCGGAATTTACATCCATAAAAACGTAAAGTAATCGTTATATAGGCGCCCGTTTAGTGCCATTACTTCGAGCTGTCAGCGGACTCCGGGATAATGTATTCCTGAGATATGATTATCAAGGGAAACAAGAAAAAAAAAATGTAAAAGAAAAACTTTTAAGCGGACAGTCGATAGAAAAAATGACATTCACGTCGATTCCCGGTGACATAATATTTAAATAACTTTCCGTGCTCCGAAACGTAATGGCAGCCGCGCGATTCCGACGAGCGGCTACGATCCATTTCCGGTTTACCGGGACACCTCGTTAAAGTCGAATAGAAACGTGTCGTAGCAGGAACGTTTAATACGGGATAATTAAGAAAAAAAGAGCGGTTCAATCATCGTTAAATTCGCATTATGGGAGACGTTCGAATAGGCAACACGGATTCCCATCAGGAATTAACGAGAGAGCGGAGTCCATGGCGCCGGATAATCTCGATGACAAAGCTGGAGGTAATGGACGACCTTTCGAGGGCGCGATGCTCCGCCCCCACCGGGCAATTCGAGAAACAATGGCAGCCGGGTACGTGCAGAGGCACTGTGGCAGCGGGACTCGGCTTCGGGATTGACAGTGAAACGTTTGCTCGCCGTTGAATGAAACGCTCAATCGTTTCGTTTCTGAGAGGCAGGCCCGGGACACACGGCGAACACAAAGACGACAAATGTGTTCGCCGTGAATGGCACCGGACCGCTGTCGAAGGAACTATAAAGTAACCGAGAGAGTTCCGACTCGTACCGCGAATACATTTCACGGAATGAATGTGCAGTAACGACTTTTCCCTGTTTCTGATATTTAACTACCTAATCCAGACCCCGATTGATATTCCATTTCACTGATTCAGTGAAGAAAATCCATTTTAACCTAATTTTCAACCTTTTAACCTAAAAAGTACCGTTGTACGCCGACGAAATTCTTTTTACTCAGTTCCAATGGAAACCTGGGTTTGCATGCGATAATTCGAATGAACAATTTCGAATTCAGTATTCAAATGTAGAGAACATCGTTCAAAGGTGATCGAGTAGTCTTCCCACCTACCGAACGTGAGCCGTTTCGCGTGGACGTTGCTCCGATCGCTCGACGTGACGTTCGACGCTTTCGGAAAACGGGAACGCGAGACACCCGTGAAACATATCGCGTGATTCCGCGTTCCACGATTGCCACTATGACACACGATCGAAGGAATCGTAAAGACGAACCGCTGCTTTCTATCCTTGTTCCCACTATCATTATACTCCGTACTCGTTTGACTTTTCCACCCCCCCCTCCCTGCTCGAGCGACGATCCGCTAATTTTCAATCGGCAAATCATGCTGTCCTAGTAAATCTCTAGACGCTCCGTACTCTTATTACCGGTAAACAGAAGCGAATTCGGTTGGTACTCATGAGTAAGTAACTGGCCCGATGCCGATCCTCGTTGCAGGTAAGCAAGCGTATCTCTTGTTGTCGTCGGGTGAGGTGTGCGCTCGGTCGATAATTCGCGGGGATTTACCTTGTTCTGCAGGACGTCGATGAGCACGTAAACCAGCAGCGTGATCTCCTCCTCGTCGGAGCCGAGAGCGTTACCCTGTAGACCGGCGGTGGCCACGTAAAGGGCGACCAGGTGGGTCGGTCCCCTCGCGCCCGTGGTCTGCATCTTGAAGAGGTGTCCGGTGCGTTCCCGTCGTTCTCCCCGTGGCACTCAAACAATTTCCCCACTGGTCAGAGAGCAAAACCGTACACCTGAACCGAACCGTTTCCGAAAACCGGGGGATTTCGAGGCTCTCCTTGTTTCTTTTTTCCACCACTTTCTACGACGTGCGCGAGGAACGCGGCCAACGAAAATAGGAACGCGTAACCGTGTCCTGGATACGTGCGCGGTCCCGCAGGGTGGACAGGCTCTCCTGCTCACCTGAGCCCGTTTACGTACGCACACTGTTTCAACATTCACTGATCACTGTCGTGATCCTGGGGGCCCCGTGGCATGTCGCGCCGGGGTACTATCGTCGACGTCGTCCTCTACCCGTTTGAGGTTATGGGCCGATCCGACGATCCGATACCACCGATATGGTCAACGACGCGCGTCTGCCGAGCACGGATTCACCGCGCGCCACGTTTGCGCAGGTGTCGCACGATAACTCCGCGAACCGATTCCCAGGCACCGCGAGGCAAATCGTGTTCTGCGCGGCTCTGGGTGTCTGTCTGTCGACGGCGCGCCGTCGCGAGTGGCAAGGTTCCGTGCAACACTGGCCAACAACCGGCCCCGACCGTTGCGCGCACACGTCGTTGCCTCACCTGGCGACTGCGCATCGAACCTGGTCCCTCGTTGGCTAGAGAGACCCCTCTCGCTCTGTCTCCTTCCCTCTCCCTTTATTTCTCGAGCGTTCTCGCTCTATCTCTCTCTCTATCTTTTCCTCGCTCCTTGGATATACCTTCGCTCGGTGAACTCGAGTGTCTGCTCAGTCGCGACGAGGACAGACGGTGCTAGGTTAGAAACGAGTCCGATGAGGATGGAACGAGAAAGAGAGGGAGGCGAAGACCGTAGGAAAAAACGCGGAAACTCGACGATAACGGCACGGGGCACGGTTTAAATTCGAGAAACTTCTTTGGCCGATCCACCGGATTCGACACCGATAGACGGGAACGAGCGTGCCTGATGTCCGTCACCCGTTGCTCGTCGCGTTGCGTCGCTGTTTCGGTGAAAACGTAACCCAGCCAGGTTAAAAGAGGCGAAGGGAAAGGCAGGTCGGTAGCGGCGACGCACTGGCCAGGTGCGCAGACATTCCACTCGCCTTGCGGTACGCTCACCCCGCTACCCGGCCATTATTTTCCACTCGGAGCGCCACGTTTTACCTCCTCATGGCAGACCCTTAAACGTTCGATATGTTAAGAACCCGGGCCCCCGAAATCACGCCGGTCAATTTAAAGGGCCGCGAGGTCATCCCGCGACCTTTCCTCGCGGAGGATGCAAATATTCTATGATCTCGGAATTTATGTTCATCGCAGTTTTAATTTAGTTTCTTTGGAATTAATGGAGGCACTTTAAATTGTAGCTCGGCCGCTAATATGGCTGATCGTCGTCCGCTCGCAGGTACATCGTTCCGCTTTTCCGCGTGAGATAGATTTTGTATCGAAAAATAAGATGAATGTTGCGCAAGAAGGTGACGTTCGACGTTTTTGCAGGTTTCCAGCGGAGAAACATGTTACGGACGGAGGATTGATTGGTGAACGGATGGAGTACCTGGAGAAGCTGATGGAACTGGATTCAATGAAGATGGCGGACATTATGTTTCGTTCTTGATGAATGTGTGTAGGGATCCGTTGTTTTGTATTTAGGATCGGGAGACGTGGATTTCTGGAGAAGGAACTGCTGACTTTATCGATATTGATTCTGGAGTGAAGTATTGAAAATTATAGTAAGAATTGATTATTTACAGGAGCCTTGTTACAGTTAAGCAGTTGGAGAACGCGGTGTTTTCATGTTGTCAGTGGTTTCTGTTGTCGCGTGTCGGTCAGCGAGCGTTCACTTCGAGCTGCTAACGTCGAGTGCTGCACGTTTCAGCGGAAAGATCCCGGCGTTAGAATAAATTGTCAACCGTGTAAACAACGTTCAATATGACTGCAGAATGTAAACATCGGTAGTTAGATACCATGTAATGATAAGAATGATACAGTTAGTGACGAGAATCGTCACGCAGTTCGGAGCACCGTCCAGTGTCTCAGCGATAGACGTTGCGAGCTCGCGATTCTCGCAATCTAGGGATTCCACCTGTGCTGATAAGGATTGATAAATCATATTACGACCCTTGACGAAAGGTAGCCGTTGAAACGAACTAAACGTATGTTACAAACATTGCACCTAACGAATTTCATTTAATTCTTTTCGTTCAAAGAGAAAAGGAAATGTTTTTTCAAGCAGAGCATCTCGCGCATTGAGTGTCTTAGACTTGAATAACTAAAGAACAGTTGTAACAAAGAGTTACTCCAATATTTGTGCAGTCCTCTGAGGTATCTGTGAAACATTGAAAAAGGGCAGTATTTATATTTATTTTCCATAGTAATACGTTAATGGTGTTAACGGTTTGTTCGATTGTTTCAGAAGCAGTCTGTGTAAGGGGTAGACGTTAGGCGTATCTCGCGATTGAAGGAAAGGAAAATGGCGACTACCTTGCGCGGCTCCCTCTGAACATAAGGAGGCTCTAACAAGTTGTAAGAGATCACAGGTTCATACCGTCGCCTGTGCCCCCGTTTCGGAGCTCCCTCCATAACGCGATCACGGCCTTGATAGCGTGCGTGCACGAGCATGTCTTGTTCCACTGTTACGTTTCTTTTTTTCTCTCCTGCCTTTGCTCCCCTCCACGACCGGTCAGCTTTTGGAAAATGCTTCCTGCACTTACAGCGCACGCGAACACGCACCAAGGCACGGGGATCGGCGGGATATCTCGGTGCGCTCCGATCATGTTTCAAGTTTCGAAGCCAACGAAACCCTCAACGGAGAAACAAATTGTTGACTTCGTACGTTAGCCCGCAAGGCTGTGAATACGACCGTTCATGGACCGCAATACTTGTTTACTCGTTAAACGTAGAAAAACAAATTTATTTTGCAGATTTAAGAATTTCATTGAATCGTTGTCCTTGCAGGTAAAAGTAAATTCATTGATAAAATCTCGTTGATAACGAAATAAATCGCGCAAGAAGCGCAGGTTCGAAGAGCTGGCCAGTGAACGGGTTAAACTCGAGAAACATCGACAGTGCCGCGGCCATCGATTCCGCGTCGACTTCCTCAACGTTACTTGTTATTCCAACGAAAATGCCAGCCGCCCATCATTCCCTGCAAGTTCCGCTTCTATCGAAATCATCTTACATAAACAGGTTTCTCCGGTATGCTTCGCGCGCGGAGCAAAATTTTACTCTTAACGACGAAAAAAGAAACCACGACAATCGTACGTTCGCGCAATACATTTTACGATTAATAAACATTCTTTAGGAACTGGTCTTCGGTATCGACTCCAAAAGAGGAGAGGAAAACGTTTCGGAAGATCGTAGATTCGAAACAGAAGTATCGGAAGGCAATACCTCAGGTATAATCTAAAAATTGGAGTTATCGGGGTCGCGGATAAGACCCCGAACGACTGAAAAGATCTGGATCGAGAAAAATAGCGACTCGTTTAATCGAGGCCCTGCCGTGTGTCCCGATGAATGGGAGGACGCTTCGGGTCGCGGTTCAGGATAAAAACAACTATTCCCGGTGTATTATTTGAAATAATATTTTACCCAGCGGTATGCCCCCGGGTCTGGTTCGTAATACGCGTTCTACGGTTTTCAGGTGGCTTAGGAAGGAGAGCGAAGGAAAGCAACCGACGAGCAACAGGTTGCCACGATCCCGGCCGTCCAGGTGGGGGTAGAACGAGAGGAGAGCAGCGTCGTGTAGGACAGAGAAGCAGAAAACGGGCAACGAAGTGGGAAAGCGATCGTCGTCGAGATTTGGTTGGAATATTTATCCGTGAAGCGAAATGCTTAGCGGTACGCAAGAGCCGACGATGGTGTCGCGACAGGGAGACCGGATTGGTCGGTCACCTGTTGCCTGCCAACTGTGATTGGTTGGCCTCGACGGCGCGTAACGACTGCCAGAGGAGGACAAGTGCATCGTCGACTGGTCTACGATGGACCAAGATCGAGAATGGACATCGCGGTGATGCTGATTTCGTCCGTCTCTCTACCGCAAACACCGGTACGTCTGTGTATCGTACACATCCTGCGGTTGTGTATACGCAGGCACATGTGCGCGTATGCTACATTATTTGTCCTTCCTCGTCATCGGGTCAGCCGCGCAACGATTATGAAATACATGTTTACCGTTTTTATATGTTCACCATTCCGCGTTATAATTGCCGGCTCGACGGGAACGTACCGTCGGATTTCGTGAGCCGAATATGCCTGTAGCTACGTGCACACTTAGCTCGCCGTGTTGTTCCGTACGTTCGCTAGAAACCATTGTCGACGACGTTGTACCGCGTTCTATGTAATTATTGTAATCTCGTTCAGCTAGTCGCAAACACGTTTGACTTAGGTGAAACATCGGGTTGCAATTATCGGCACGAAGAACGTGGCAGCTCCTTTTACTTTCACATTCCGCGCGGAGGACCACGTCCGCACGCTCATTATCCGGATATTATTTCGTGTTTCCGGCTGCGACGTGCGACCGAGGCGTTTGCGCGCGATGCAAATAACCAGAAAACGCACACGCGTCTGGGAACCAGCGGCGCGTTTTGTTTGGGCGATCGATTAACGGGGCACGGCGAGCGAAGCGCGAATATGTAGATACATACACGCGTGTCGCGGAATTAGGTAGCCGAGGAGGCGATCCTGGAACAGGTGTAGCCGGGTCGGGGAACACCGAGAACCGTGCGAGACCAAAGTCTCCGAGCAGGGAGAGCAAAGTCTGCGCTCGACGGTGTAAGGAAAGCCGGTTTACTATGTCGGACTCTGAACCTTCCGTGTCATATTGATTCTATACGAGCGAGAGCCGCGTCGAGGTAAAGCAGAAACGAGTCCTAAGTACTCCGCGCGCATGCATAATGGTCGGGCTTTTTATAGTGGATTATTATTTCCCTTTTTCTTTCGCGTTGAAGAAACGAAACCAGGGAATTATAAATAACTTACGACGCGGCACGTTTTAATGAAAATAAAACCGGCGATCACTCATCCACGCGTTATAACGAGGCCGGTACCAAAATGGCGGTCTGATGCGCGAGGCACGAAATGATTCTCAGCTATGTCGTTTTTTTTTGTTAAATTAATTATTCGCCGCTTGTAAACGTATCCAAGAATACGTTGCTCGCTAACAGACACGTACTGTTTTTCTTATCGTGTAACCGATCCGTAGGATAATAATAATTCGTTTAATGGTACATTGCCATTCGATACGTAAGATGCTTGAGATAAGACGAAGGTTATTAGCACAGACTAAGAATATAGATATTACACGGGAAAAAATACGACGCGAGAGGGAAGAGAAAAGAAAACACGATGTTTTTTTCTGTTTCGGTTATGGGTATACTAATTTAGCAAGCGCTTATGAGATATCTGAGAAACAGCGAATGAGGAGAATTACTACTACGGATGACGAGAGTGTTTCGAAATACGTACGCGTTTTCTGGGTTCGCCGGAAAGACCATCGCGCGTAATCAACCTCGGAATACCAAACAGCCGATTTGGCTGACGATGCAAGGTCGCCTCTGAACATCGACTACGAAATACGCGATGTCGTGTGACTGGCCACCGTAAAGTCAATGGACAATTATCAAAGATCCTTGAGACTTTCACGAGCCGCGTTCATATAACCGTTCAAAACTTCCGTGATTCCCATTTGAAAAGTACCTCTAATCTTCCACCGCTATTGTAGTTATTTCCTTAATATTTAATTTAATTGGTTCTTCCCTAATCAGGAGTCATAGATCTCGGTAATCGTAGAATATTCAAACACGCATCTCTATATTTTCGTTTGATCGTATAGTTTTCCTTCGACATAAATAATCCCGGAAATTGTCTGAAATTAGGTTACGATCGTGTATAAGAAACGGTACAAATTTTCAACATCGTTCCCCCTACTCTTTTACGAGACATTTGTCCGTGACTCGAGCGAAGGCGGAAGAGCAAAGGACAGGCACAAAGGGGAGAAGTTCCTCGAGGTAGAAACACCTGCCAGACACCTGCTTCTTAGGAGATCCTGAAACCAACCGCAGCAACTTCTAATTGCGAGACGAACAACCACGATTTATCACATCGGACAATAGCGTAGATGATCGTGTCAATATACAAACCATCCGGAATGGAAAAATGATTTCGAAGGGAAATGTATTCCTGCAAACTGTACGAACGTAATCACTGATATATTAACGTTCAGCTGCTGTATTATTTGACCCACTGGCAACCGTAAGCGTTAAATTATAATACCACAGGGACGTACCCGTGTATCATCAAAGTACATTTGTTTTAAGAATATTAGCAAAATGAAAACGACAGTTCGATTGAGAAATAGAAACATCCTCGAACGCTAGGAAGCTTGAAACGGTTGAACATCGCGTGGATTTTCGCGAGAAGAAAGGAACGTCCGATCCTCTCGAGTCTGTCTGTAAATATTTCGATGTACATATAGCGGCGCTCGTAGTTCGCGATGAACGATCCGTTTCGGATGTTCTTTCACGATAGAAGGAAGGGGAGCGGATTCACCGTTGCGCAGAACTTTCTCTCGAACGAGGATTATACTCCTGCCTTTCGTGCACGTAGCCGCGCTACGTAACTTTCAAACCGTCGCAAATCACGCTGCTTCTTCCGCGAACGATTTCCATTATATTTAAATCAACTCGAATCCAAGCGACATCGGAAAATCAAGCGTACCCGCGACGCGGTACGTGGGAAACGAACTTTAATTAACAATCGTACCGACGTCGGTAAACATCACACCCAGACATAGGAAAGCTCGCTATCCGAATAAAACATTCGGATCGCGATGAATAAAAGATAACGCGCGTTTTCCATTAATTGAACTTTAAAGGTACCAACACCATGTTCACCGGTGTAACGCGGAATGTCCTTTCTCTTCTTCGCGATTCATTTTTGTTACGTAACACGGATGCTGTAACGCGATTATTATTACGATTCGGTAGTTTTGTCGACGATGTACAATACGCAAGTAAATATATATACATATATATATATATATATATATAATATATAATATATATGTATATATACATATAATATAAATATATTTACAAAACCATCCTACAGAAGATTTCGTTCGAGGTACTGAATTCCTGGTCTACCCGACACGCGAAGGTTTTCTCTTCGCGGGGCAAGTGCGAAACGAAGTTTCGCTAATACGAAAAAACCGGCGCTGAAGGAAGAGCAGATAGAGGAAGGAACACGGTAGAAGGAAGACGAGAGAGAAGACAGGCTGGTCGCTGACCCGCTCGGAACGTTGACTCCATGTAGTCAGTCCCCTCTTTATATTTCCTTCCATCCCGCTTGCACCATCTCCGCCGTGTACCTTCGATTACAGCCACCAGTTACCTTACCTTACTTTACCTTGCGTTACTTTACCAGGTCCGCCTTTCTTTCGCCCGGCCGATCGCGACCATTATATTCCGGACTTAGCATCTCTCTGGGATCTGTCCGTTGCTTTCCCGTCCCTCTCCATCCGCATTCCCGGCCGCGCGTTTTTCTTATTGCGAGAGCGTCGTTCAACGAACGAGCGGCGTGATTTCATCTAGTTCGAGGAGAACCGGAAACGAACGACCGGCCCCAACGAAAATCCGCGCCGAATGAAAATCGGCGGACGCGTGTATGTGCTAGTTACCGCCAGACTCGAGCGCGTTATTCAATGTTTCTAAACGTTCCGGCGAGCCGGCCATAGTCCTTTCATCCGTTACTCGAATTGTTATGGTGCTTGAACACTTTCTGCCAGGGGTAGTAGTACAGAAATATTACGCAACAGCGTTGAAACCTCGATATCTTTGTTCCACGAATATTTATCATATAGTTTACTGTCCTTAGAAAAATTCGTGTTTATTTAGATTTTAGGAATCGGAGGTTTGAAAAGAGACGATTAGGATATATATTCGAATACCAAATGTTTACAAACTTCAATATACGCTAAATAGGCGCATTCTGTAGTCCTAGTGTTAAGCATTTCCCTAGCTACCTTCGCGGCCACCCTTTGAGGACGCCATATTGATGCCAAGCTCTCATCTTAAGAACTAAAAGTAGCAAACGAATCATTTATTTCAAAGGTCAACGGGTGGTTTCTTTCTTTCATAGTATCTGACGTGTATAATTTAGCTTCCTAAAGAAGTTATTAATACTCCAGAACGTCTTCTTCCGCGAAGGGTTAATAACGATCACGATTTGATGGATAAGCAGCAGAGCCGAGAGCGACTGTGTGTATACCGTTAGAATCGCAATCGTTCTCACATCGTCTCTGCGATTCGTACCCCAGTTGGTAACGGTACGGGTTCGTTTCTCGGTGAATTTTCGAGCAACCGGGTACGGTGTTCGCGTTCTAATCATCGTTATCCGGAGCTTTCCTGTAACGACCATGGCTCCGTGAAAGCTCGCCCCGTTTCCCTCTCTCTGATCGCTCGTTTCACTCTCCTCCGCGCCTCCGGCATCGTCGTTGGCCGCCACCTCCCGATCCAGCCCTCCACTCCACAAACTACCCGACGGGAACTCGGCTCCTCCCGCCGCGTCGCTCAATTATTTCAGTCATTACGACCGCCCTCTTAAGCTATGTATCCACCGGAGCAACTTCGAATATTTCGAAGGAAACGAGGAAATCTCTTGTTTATTCTTGTTTTCTTTGGCAGCTAGGAACGCTGGCGGATAAGATTGATGCTTTAGAGGAACGAGCAACGTCTCGATGGGGAGACTGTTCCCATCAGTGGATACGTAGCTTTAAGTCCTCAGCTAAGCGCATTATTCACTTGGGAAAGTAAATATAAATGAGCCATGGTATTACTCGTTTATTGGTTGCTCTAGGAATGCGCGGAAATAAGGAATATTTGCATAAATATTTTGATTTTTTTCCTTGGAAACGTGTTTGCTTGTTAATGAGCTTGGTTAGTAATTAGATTGGAGCAGTTAACATTATTTCTTGTCGTTATTGTTCTATTGTTTCGTTTAACTTTTCGAAAGATACAATTGCATATGTTACGGTATATGGTTGTGGTAATATTTCTTTTTATTTATGTGTAAATATGCTCACTCGTTTAATGGATAAATGCTCGGATGGTAATATGCTGATGTATTAGAATAATTAATTATTCTATTAGAGCAGTGTTTACGATGATAAGATACAGGTTTAGAACGTGTATCCCAGAAGATTGTTAATATTTTGATTCGTATTAAATGTATTACCTGAAAATTATGATTATTATTAGTCTTACCTAATGTGCCGAGGGGTCAGTGAAGCCTTAATACGGTCCTGAAACCCGCGAAATATAAAAACAGAATTTTAAGAATTAAACATGTGAGTACGTAATTAACAAATTTCGTTTATTACAATTCAATTTTAGTGTTCTTGTTGGCGTTTATATACATGGATGTACCTTCCGTAATTTGATTCAGGAAAATGTGTATAAAATATCTCAGAAATGAGGTGATAATTTTTTAAGAATTGTCCTATTTTTGGAGTAACACCGTCGAACGTTATTACATGGCTAGGCATTGTAATGTTTTCCTTCTCGTTGTAATTATGACTAAGCCAATCCGTAGGATTTGCAAAAAATATATCCGCTTCGTCAACATAATTTGCTGAATTATGAAAGTTAGGTTCACAAGTCAATATTTTGATAGGTACATTTACATGTAAATGGCTGTACAATGGTGTAGCATGGCAAGGTGTTAAAAATAGTATGTTCATTTCATTATGGGTATCAGTAATTTCTTTACGAAGGGTATTCATTACATCCAATGATCCACGTTGATGTATCATAGAGAAGTAAAAGCCAGGAACAATGTTAGTAGCTATCAATAGAACTATGAAGATTTTCTTTACTGTCTTTGTAAATTTAACATTTATACGAATTGTACAAGAAGTACATATAAATATTAACATTGGTAAGAGGGGTAATAAAAATCTAAATTCTTTGTGAGATAATAATGAATATACGAAGATTGTCCAACAAATTACCAGTAACATAATTGACTGGCGATGGAAACATGTGTAGCATTTGGTTATCTTCCAAATGCATAATAAAAATATAATGTAGTACAGTCCTAAAAGTATTGGTAGTCCACAGAAAATGTACCACATTAAGTGATGGGTTCCATAAAAATCTCCAATCTTGTAAAGGATATTTACACGAAAGAATTCCCAAGGGGAAATGACTAAAGAATTATAACAGAAACTATCTAACAGCGTTGAACTTATAAAACAAACAATGCATATTGTGATGTATTGACTAATTAATATTAACTTCTTTTCTGAACTAGTGCATAAATGATAAATGCATAAAGGTAACCATATAATAGTTGCAGTAGGTCTCATCATACATAAAAAACCTACGATCCATAGAAAATTCATATTCCTAATATTACTATCACGCCATGGAAACATGGATAATGCTATCATAGTAAATGCAGTTTCTAAAGTATTTATAAGCGTTCTTGAAGCGCAATAATACCAATACCAATTCATACATAAACTGTATAATGTCCATTTGTTTTTTGTCCATTCATAAAATTTGAATTCTCCATAAGCACTGATACCTGCTTGAACTATTCGAGGTACTGTAGTCAAGACCGTTACATAATCTAAACGTACCAGTGCCAATATTTGAAAGATGATAGATATAAAAAATGGATATATGTAATTGCGAATATGTACAATCCACTCCCACGTGAGGTATCCATATCCAAATGTTAAGTGATGAGCTACTTCCAATGATTGCCAATATTCATCAGGTACGTGTGCAGTTTGTACAAGGAAAACGGAACTTAACCTCCATAATAGTAATAATAATAATGTTTTGTATTTTCTAGGCAAATGCATTTTTTATGTTTAGAACAATTATTTGATACTTCTAAAATGATTTAATACTTCAGTGTTTGCTTTCGAAGAAGCATATCTCGATAAATATTAACAAAATACTCGTATCTCGACTAATATTATTAAAGTCAATTCAATCTCGATCAAATTTTTACAGTAATCTTTCACTCACTATCCGTCCTTTATACCGAATTATTCGTTTCTCTTTTGTTAACTGTAATAGTCTTTTGTTAATAATGAAGTAAATTGTATGCGGATGATAGTCAACTTGACAGTGCTTTACCCTGAAAACGATTATAAAACGATTATTGTCTATTTTGATTTAAATAACTGTACGTAATAAATAATTGAAAAGAACAATGTATAGTGTATATACTTTTTATTGTACACTTCTGGCTAATTGTATAAAATATCTTTTTTGTAATATTCTGTATTGAATTCGAATGTAAATATATAGATTAGTTTCGAGTAATCGATACAGATGGAGCCACGTCGAAACCGCAACCATTTTGTGGGATCGATTAGTTGAGAGGTCTTCGGAACGATATTTCTTTGAATAAGAGAACCAAAGTCGATAGCATCGTAACGAGAGGTGGTCGATAACCGATTGTGCATCGTTCTTTTCGAAACGAGAAATTGAAGTTCGATATCTGTGAAATAATTCGTCAAACGGTGCTTTGAGATATCGGATTCTTCGCGGTAAATTTGTTATACCGTAGTAGCTACGGTTTGGAGCACTGATACTCTAAAACGCAAGCATGTATCGTTCTAGACGGTTACATCTGAAATTATGCGAAAAAATTACTCCGTTTTGATAAGAAATAAACGTTATGAGGTAGCAAATACAAAGAAAATACTTTATACTTGTATTTTAATACCTGAAAGATAAGACTGGCCGGTATATATTTATTTTGATTCGCAATCATGGAAAGTAAATCGATAGCAATACCGAACAACGGAAAATCTACCGCCGTAGATGATTCTAAGAGTGAAATGCAAATGGTACTTGCTAAAATGATGGAGGAAAAGCATACTTACACCTATAAAAAATTAGTGGTACCTATGTCAATGAGGAGTATTTATTGGAAATTCTTTGGGTTTCCAGCTACCGATGATGGAGATATCCTCACTAAAGTAAAAATTGTTTGCATATTATGTAAAACTCAAATTGCATATAATCGCAATACTAGCAACTTACGTATGCATCTACAAAACAAACATGCTCAAGAGTTATTAGAACTAGAAGCTACTAATCCACCACGAAGACAGGTACTGTCTCAAGAAACAAAAGACCGGAGGGCCCAAAAGCGATTATTAAAGGCAGGTTTAACTTCTGCACAACATATTTACACTACTAACGCTGATGGTACTGTACAGATAGATGGAGACATTCAGTTTGTTACTGATCCAAATATAAGTTTATCTAACATCGAGGATGACATTACGATTGGCCAACCATTAAGAGTTATGATTAAGAGTGGTTCTAATATTGCTAACAATAGTCAAAATGTGGCCTTTCTTATGCCTGAAGAAAATCCAATTAATCAGTCAAGTATTGATGGGAAAACTGTATCAGACGCTATAGCAGAATTTATTATAATGGATTTACAGTTGCCTGAGGTAGTAGAAGGTCGAGGATTCCAAAGATTAGTTGCAACATTAAGGTCACCATGTGAGATTCCAAGTAAAAATAAATTAGAGGAAGAAATCGTACCAAAAATTTATGACACCTTTCGTGAATCAGTAGCTACTACTCTATCTTGTATTACCAGTGAAGTGGGTTTGACTATTGAAGAGTGGAGATCAAATTCTGATGAACGTTTTGTTACTATCTCAGTCTATTATCAGAATGTTGGTGAACCTATCTTAGAATGTAAAGTATTAAGTACAATTCATGCCCCTTTGGATTGGGAAGAATCTCAATGGGGCAACACAATAGATTCTTTGTTGCTTGATTGGGATTTGAAAATTGAAAGGATAACTGCTGTAGTAATAGCTACATCCAGGGCAGAGCTGCTGACTGCATTAACGAATCGAGGATTGACATTAGTTCCTTGCTTACTTTACACATTACAAGTATGCGCTCAGGCATGTTTTGAGAATCCAGATGTTGCTTCTATATTATCTAAATGTAGAGCAGCTATTGGAGCCATCATAAGTCATCCAGCTGCATCTGCAGCTTTAGCTATGCAAGAACAGTTATTGGAGGTAAATTTAAAAATCATATTGCATATAGATAAACTGGGTAAAAATCACAATAGTTTCTAGTACTTTCCTAGTATAGCTCTAGTGAGGTGAAAAACTATTGAATTTATCAGTATTCATTATGAATCAGCCAATAAGAAAATAATTTATTATGTTGCCCTAAAATTGATCTAATATAATTTTAGTTGGACGAAAATACGATGCTGATGGATTATCCGCCTGTTTGGACGTCAACGTACAATATGCTTGAACAGATGGTCCTGCGTCGTAACATCGTAACATCAATTTTAGAAAGCATGGAAGGGGTTGATCAAGAAATGGTTGATTTAACAAATGAACAGTGGAAGATCGTAGAAGATCTTGTAAATGTTCTAGAACCATTTAAAGTTACTATAATGACGCTTAGCGAGGAAAAGATGCCTTTGATATCCTTATTAAAACCGTTACTTTGGCAACTTGTATCTTCTCATCTAAAAGTAAAAGAAACCGATAGCGATACAGCAAGATCTTTCAAAGAATCATTGTCTGATATGCTTTGTGATAGATATGCAGATTACAATGTTACTCTTTTACTCCAAATTGCCACTACTCTAGATCCAAGGTGAATATAGATTTTTATTTATAGATCTCGTACTATTAACGTATATATTATTACAAAGTATTTCAAACTATGTTTTGCGTTAGATTTAAACAACTTCCATACGCCACTGAAGAAGATAAAAATTTAGTTGCAACTCCCATCAAGGAAATGTTGACGAAATTAATACAGGAAGAATCTGGAGATGGTACAACTATTAAAATCGAGGAGGAACCGCCAAGCAAAAAAAGTCGTTTATCTGGTATGTAAAAATGTGATAAATAATGTAATAGTCGTAATGTTTGTAATATTTATATAATCATGATTTGATTACATGTAGGTATGGAACTTTTACTTGGTGGTTTATGTTCAACGAAAAGTGGCATGCCGGCTGAAGAAAAAGCAGATCTGGAACTGGTACAATACCATTCGGAAGCTACTGCGCCACTTGATTGCTGCCCCCTTCAGTGGTGGGCTAAAATATCTGCAAAGTGTCCAAACTTAGGGAAACTGGCTTGTAGATACAATTGTGTGCCCGCATGTTGCGCACCGCCCGCTAGAATCCCGGCAGAAGTACAAGTATTATACGATACGAGGCGAGCTGCCATACCTTCTCATTTAATAGACAAACTTCTCTTTCTTCATGGGAATCACACTGTTTGAGAAGAACATTGATTTCTGTTAAAAATATTTGACTACCGTCCGTGGTAGAAAAGATGGCAGATGTAAGGAATGAGGGTCCGAGTAGTCAGAGTGGAAAAAGCCCAATCATTGTCTTACTCATTTACAACTACAATTTCTCGAAACGCGTCCTTCGCGTCACGCATGCATATAACGGAAGATTCCTCTTGCCCCTGTGCCCTCCTGCATGCCATCTTTTTTGCCACGCACCATACTTTGTGATATGTAAAACAATCTTTGAAATGTTAACGTATTAACATTTTATGTTAAGCTTTTAGTGTCTTTTCTTTAGCATTACCAATCAACAGAATTTAAAACATGTACAGACACTGAAACTATTTTAAAGGTTTCAAAGATAAGATACCTATAAAGATTTTATGCATTGATGTTCATGGTGCTAAGAAATGATGAATTTGTCTTTGCCAAAGTTTGAAATCAAATTTCATACTTTGAAGCTACAAGAAACATATTTGAAGTTCTTGAGTAACTGTGATGCAATCTTAAAACATTTGTACTTTGATATTATGCCTTTTATTGTCTTTGCAACTGTTGTACAGAAATTTAGAGAAATCAAAAGGCATAATGAGGTCTGAGAGAATAAACAAATATTCTTAGGAAAATACAACAAAAAGAATAATTTTCCAATTTAGAGCTGCATAGTGTATCATAATTTGAAACAAGTTTTAAATAACATACTATTGTGAAGTCTTTGAAAATAAAATTTCAATGCAACGAGTATTATGTTAAAATAATTTAAATATAAATTCTCAATGCTTGAATTCTTTTTGCAAATATATCTTCTTCACAATAGGTCACTTAAAATTAAAATGCAAATCTAATTATATAAATAAATTATAATAGGCACACTTCGGAGAATATGGTACATTACTAATATTATCAACATCATATTTGTTTACAGATATATGCTAATAATATCTCCTGCTTAGGAATGATATAAAAATGAGCATTACAGCAAATTAAACAGAAGAATTAGTAAATTATTTCCAATTTCTATTTTTGCATTAATGCGCTTTAGAAGTGTATTCTTGTGATATTAACTTATATTTAAAAATACTAATTAGTACAAACGTAGCATTTTATATTATGAATAGTGGAATTTTTATCATGATCAAATTATGATAAGTACATTTTTTCATTTATTCATCTAGCGGCTTACATTTCGGTATTTGAATGTAATGTAATATTGTATAATATGTATTATGTATGTTTAATATTAATTTAAATCCATAATGATATCCATATTTATAAATATTGTACAAAGTTTTACACTTTATTTTTGTAAAATGTCAACACAATTGTAAAAAATAGTTCGCAATAATAATTTTTATATTGTACATACATATATATTATTCTTACAATGAATTAAAGGATGAACAATACACACATCATAAAAATTTCTTTTTGAATAATGTTGTATAATTTATTACCTAAAAATGTAATTGATTCGAAGGAGAATACTTAAAATTATATGCTTCACTATCTTACATTCTTATTACTCACATTACAAAATTTAATATAGAAGTTGATTATGGAAGACTGAATTGATTTTGCACCCATATAGAAGTTTCATAGAACCTTGGATCTGCAATTCTGAGAGATGCTCTCTTATAGAAATAGTAATACAAAACTGCAACTTTAATATAATTAAATGTGAACAAAATTTGACTCCGTTAAACTTATTATTAAGATTATATTTTAATTATTAAAATCATTACCTCCTCTATGTAACGAATATAGAACATGAAAATTTTTACTCCAATAATGTCTGAGGGGTGATGACCAATGCATTTTAATGTCCCATGTGTGAAGACTAATGCTTAATATCATATACATAATACATAATATCAATGTTATACGAAATTTTGTGTACAGCAACTGTATTAATCCTACCTATATAAAAAAAAGTGGTATATTATAAACAATTCTCTTAAGGGTATATTATGTGAAAATTAAATTTCCAATTTTCATTAAATTTTTGTTGACAATTACCTGGAAGATGTAGGTGGAAAAAAAATTAACTAATAAAATCGTCAGAGTCATAACAAGACAAAAGTCTTGAATGCTTAAAAACAAAATAAGAGAAATGTTAAATATGAACAGAACTTCATAGACTGGAATGCAAAAAATTACGTACACATAGAGAATTAATAAATTAGTCGGACTTCGTCGAGAAAAACTGGCGAACGAATTGACGAAAATGTCAAAAAACAGTATCAAGTACTGTACAATTATAGTTGCCAAGTATTTCCTTGTACTTAATATACTCATTTATCACAAAAAACGAATTTGATTATGTTACAATTTACACGGTCACAATTTTGTAGTGTCTTTATTCTATTGTTGTATTCCAACAGTTGCTATAACAACGAGAATTACATATACATATACGACTTACTTAATTTGTATGCTTTAATGTTCTTCAACACAAACAATGCATAGTGTATTCCTTGTCAAAATGATCGATTCTCATTAATTATTATATAATTATTATTTTTAAATATCTAAAGAAATGTAATCCCTTCATTTAAATCAGCCTAACAAATTATAAATAAACAATTTTAACAACTTATATCAAATATGATCATATGAAACAAAGTTGACACATATACAAACACATTTGTATTTAATAGCTCTGAGATGTATAGAATCAACATATGTTTATGATAAATTAACTCTATCATGTCAAATTTAGTGACGTCATTATCATATATGGTTTCTTTGTAATACAAATACTACTACCACGTATTTGGGTGGCAATGGGTGATTTGACAGCTGACTAGTTGTATACAATTTATTTTCTGAAGCTTGATAAATTAAATTTTGTATATTCATTTAAATATACAAGCGTATTTTTTTTAATCATGGAAATATAGGAATAAATATTTTACACGATGAAAGTTTTAAAGTAAACAAGGAAATGGAACTAAATGTACGTGTATTCAGGTTATTGTGAATTGACGAATGCACGATAAAATGAACTGTATGAATGTTAACATTGACATTTTAGTTATTGTTATACCTGCGATTGTTTAATTACAAAAAACAACAACAATGACTAATCGAAATAAATATATATATACACAACAATTGGTTTCTATTTTTCCTATATTGGAATTCAGTGAAGACGATGTAGACATTCCTTTAAAGAATCCAAGAATATCTTGGTTGGATATTGCTTTTCTTGTATCTTCGATTCTTATGCATATTATAGACATGGGATTTGATATAAATCTTGTTGTAAGGTATTTAATAGCTGGGAAAATAACATATTTTATATCTACAACTGCTTTTATATTTATACCCTCATTTATAAATGTTATAATTAGTAGAAGAATGCAGCATCAAGATGACAAGGTAAAACATTATATAATATAATTTGTTGAGTTCTCATTGTTGTTATGTTGACATAATTGCTCTTTTCTTTTTAGATAAATTCTGTTCAAAATCAGGCAGAATCTAAATGCATACATTCCATGCTAACAAGAAAGTTATGTTGCATTATAGTGATTGCATTTCAGTTAGCACCAGTACTTCGTTATTGGCGATTATTGATATATACACGAAAGGCTTATAAGTTTCAAAAACAAAGTGATAAAAATGCTCAACGGACATATTACATAAAAATGCTTAAGGAAGATCAAGATGTTGCTTTATTGAGAGTGTTTGAATGCTTCCTAGAAGCAGCCCCTCAACAAGTTTTGCAATTAACTATATTATTGAAGGATTACCATAATCATATTAATTTTGAATGTACATAGATTTTTATTTATAATAGGGAACACTATTGCAAGCATCTCTAAGTTGAAAGATACATATGTCTCTGAGCATAGTAATGTCAAAATTATTTGCATAAATGTAAAGCACTAAATATAAACTGAACAACACTAAAAATACATTGAACACAGAGATGTTTGTATCAGTAATTTCTATTATAGTAATAATTCTTGTGCTAAATTATGTATAAGAATAAACTTTGTGTTTGTTTATCGTAGTTGTTCACCAAGTGGCTACTATTCTTAGTTCACTTGTAAGTATGGGATGGGCTATGGCTAGTTACCATCGTAGTATTAGATTAGTTCAGCAAGACAAGTTTAATATTGGAATTACTGGGACTGTTCTACAATTTCTGTGGCACTTCTGTACAACAGGTACTTAAATAATTATTATATAAAGAAACTAAAAGTTCACAAATATAATAAAAAATTTTCAGTTTCAAGGATATTGTCATTAAGCATTGTTGCAAGTATTTGGCCGTTATATACAGGAATTGCTTGTATTTTACACTGGATAAGCATGAGTTGTTGGATCATTATAGATTCACGTGGTATATTAGAGTTTTGTAGGAATCATAATCGTGCACCACATTGTCCTCCAAAAATTAAAGAACGTATTTGTTCAGTACTATTTTCTATGGTGATTGGCATTGTTCATGTGTTTATATATTTAAAAGCAGTAGACAAAAGCACACTTTTTAAACACGCATTTTTTTATGGAATCTGTTTCCTTGAAAATATAATAGCAACAGTACTATGGACATATATTTCTTCAGATGAAGTGAAACATGCTTGGTTCTTTCATGTACTTATTGTCTCCTGTATTTTGCCTTTCATAGTAGGCATAACAGCCATGTTTCTATATTATTGTGTTTTTCATCCTTCCAAAAAACAACTAAATTCTGCAAATACATCATCATAGCCTAGTAATAATTTATTCAGTAACAAAGTTTGATTTTGGTTAAAAATATGTAAAGGAAATTTAATTATTTATTTCTTGTTTCTATATTGTACAGATCTTACTTTTAGTTCTAAAGAGCATTTACCTAAGTACAATTTATTGTACTCATTTATTTTGTTATATTTGTAATTAATAACTTAACTTAGGGCTCAAATTGAAGTATTACTATTAATGTATAAAATTTTATATTTGAAAGAGGATAAGGTCTTGCCTATGTTACACGGATAAGAAAAGGTGCACAATGAAATTATTAACACTGCCACATTTAATGAGGCTGATAAAATGACCTGACTAGATAATTACAGTTTATAGCATTTTTACTGTGCTCTCTGTATAATATATGTATATTAAAAAATTAGTTTAATTACATTAAAAATACTGAAATCATAAGTACACATATAAGAGTCAACCAGTTGGAAAATGTAATATTTGATGATTGTAATATTTTTAAATTTAATGTCCAAATTTTGTATACATTATATACTTTTTTTAATAAATGGAATTATCTCCATTACAATTGTGTATTTTAATTTCATTACAAATATACCCTTAAATTAGAATTTAAACAAATTTTAAATCATGTATAAAAGATTCATAACTCAAATATATTAAAACTGTCTTCAAAAGTACAAAGTGTTGTTCAATTTTGAAAGTTGTTTATTCCTAAATGTACTCTCTTAAATAAATATTGAAATATAATACACTTTATTGTGACAAAAATTTATTAAGACAAGAGTATGAAGTACTGATTATATAATACACAAAATGTTCATAGACACTTCTTTTACTAAACAGAAATAAAAAATTTACATAAATTTAGCAATTCCCTTATATATTTGATAATCATTTCTTTAAATTCATTCATGGCAAAGTGCGTAGTTTTTATTATTTGGTAGCATGTATAAAGCACATTCTCTAAGGCCATTTGAGAAATAGAAACCAAATATTACATTTACTTAAGTAAGTCATGAAAGATTTTAAATTAAGATGGAATGTGCTATATAAAATAATTTATCAACATATAACAAAGCATATATTTTCATATTTGTTATTTCTTTTCTTAGTTGTCAATCCACTGGATTTTGTATTACTATAAGTATAAATTCTTTATCCGGTGCAACCATAATTTCATGCTTCTTACTACGTATACGTAAAAATGTCAGATCATTCGTTGGGTCTAGGTCTCTTACTACAGATCTTGCTTTGTCAGACAATTGGCTTATTAAACCTGCATATTGAACTGTTGTAGTATTATCCAATGTAGACTTGATTGGAATACCTAAATATTTAGTTTACATTAAATATTGTACAATAATAACATTAATAATTAACATAAGAGCACACATACCTTCTGCATTAACGACAATTGTTCCAACGACTCCCTTATGTGACTGAATACGTTTCATAGTTTCTTCCACTTCTTGTGCCTTAAAAGTACATAACGTTAATTCAATATAATTTAAGAAATGGATGTACAATTTACGACTACTTTACCATTTCTTAGAGCTAATATGTTCTATCCAATATAGGGTAACAATTAATTAATCAAATTGTTTGTAATTAGAAGCTTTTTACAAATTTGGAAATCACAAACGTCACTTGCATCCAAGCGCCCACTAAACATTCATATATTTATAGATACAAATAACATAGAAGATAAAATGAATAGATGGGGGTTGTTAAGTTTTAAGCGCCATCTAGGTACGCAAAAACAATATCATGGCGGTATATTTCAATTAAATTATTTAATTCTAGATGTAAATACTAATAATACAGCACGAATTAAATAATTAACATTATAATAAAATAACAAAAACATTTTATCCATACTTTTTAAATATTACATAGTGTACTGAATATTAATGAATAATTACAGCATTATTATAAGACTTTAATGTAGTATATAATTTTAGTTTAATGCAAAGGAACAATCAGATCAGTTCCTTGATATTCAGGTAAATTGAGATTATACTCTCTTTCCAATTTTTTAGGTACAAATCGTCCACCTAAATAATGATACTTCCCTTTAAACTGTTGAGCACACATTTTTGGTGCTGTTAATGACACTAACATTTCTGGCTTTATTCCACCATTCGTAGGTGGTCCATTTTCAACATCCCAACCTGATGGTATATCTATACTACAGATGGGAATTGCTGTGTTCTCTAACAGATGAATAATAGGAATAAATGCTTCTCTAACAGGTGGTTTAAAACTAAATCCAAATAAAGCATCTACTATGAGACCAAACTGGCACAATTGTGTTGAAGCAAAATTTTCCAAGTCATTCTCTATTAAGGGAATATCATTTTCAATGCATTGATGTAACAAATTGTTGTACAATGTATTATTTGTCCTTTTAGGATAATAAATCTCTGGTTTATATCCAAATTGTTTCAGATGTCTAGCGCAAACAAGTCCATCACCACCATTATTTCCTGGTCCACAACAGACTAAAATTTTTTGCTCAGAACTTTTTAATGATGGGTAACTATGAGCAATAGCGAATGCACAACTCTGTCCAGCTAATTCCATTAACTGATCTACGCTGAACTTGTATTTATCAAATAAATCTTTATCTATATTGATACTTTCCTGTTGTTTTAAGTATTTAACCATGGTGGTATAAAATATTCTTCCAGAATTTAAAATAAACTTATTGTTGGAAAAAATCGGCTTTGTACAACTTCTGACATACGATATCATTTATTAACTTTGACGTACGGATATGCAGTGAGAAATAACGTCATAACCTCTTACAGTATGTTATTTTTGCGTTCTAATGTGATTATATGTTCATTAGTGAAAGATAAATGTCTTTTGCATTTTACGGTGAATTTGTTTCACTTTAATGAAAGTAATATGCGTTATAAAGAATTTTCTATATTTCTGTGTAATTTCTCACGATTAAAATTCTTAACCATACAATGATCACATTAAATCTGTAAATCATTCGCTGATGTAACACTCTACATTAAACAAAAATACTTTTTTTTGTCTTGTTTATAAAATTATTCTTTATGTAATTACAATATTATTTAGTATTGCATAGATATGTATAAACAATTTCAAATAAATCTTTATTTAAAAAATTATAACTTGTAATCATTATTACAAAAATAATATACATACATGTTATTTATATACATATCACACTTTTTAGAATTATATAAAAAAATTTGATATTATTAGTTCATTCTTACAGTAATATGTAGTTAAATAATTAACAAAACTGCATAACAGGTTGTAGGTGAAATTCTGAAGATTCTTATTGTAAATTGTAATAAATTATAATTTCTTAACAAATAAACTAGCGTTTAAACAAGAACTGCTATGAACATATTTCAATAGAATTATCTTTAAATTTCTCAACCATTCTATTAACAGATAGCAGAATTTCTTCGATCATTTCTGCTGGAGCCCACTGATTAGAATAGTCGAAATTCTCTACTTTTTCTTCGTATGGAAAACGTAATCTTGTCATATGGTATATTGATTGCATCACAACTGTAGGTTTTTCTGTAGGAAAAGCAGATGAAAGTCTAAAATGTAACATATAAGAAAAATCTTGTCTTTCTAATAATAGTGTAATATAACGGTAATCAGTGGCATCAAATTCAATCAAAGAACCAGGTTGTAATGCAAGTACAGTTGTAACAAAGAGTCTTCTTTTCTCTAAACTCTGGACTAGTGGCTTTATCTAGAATAAAAAAATTTTTGTTAATAACAATGAAAACATAAATGAGAATTTAGTAACTGAAGCTTGTATACCTTCTCTGCTATATACATTTTTATTTCTAATATATAATCTGTCAGGCACTTGTCAGCTGGATAATGTGGCAAGTGCAAAGCAGATGTTCCACCAAGAATTTGTTCCAAAGACTTAGAGAAATAAAGCTGTGGTATAATCCGATTCCAATTGGGTCCACAGAATGTTACAAGAAGCATTACTATATCATTCTCTAGTTCAAAAGATGAATTTTGCAACTGTGAGACATCAATTGATAAACTTATTAGGAATTTAGCCTCTGTTGGTTTGGAACCAAATGGTAATAACATCACTTCAACATCCTCTGGTGCTATTTCTGATGAACCCATTAACATACTATATTCTAATTTTAATCTATCTTGTTTTTGAAGTAATTGTATCTAAAATAAAAAGAAAAATAGATTATATTAACTCTGATCATATAATATATAACTGGGAATCAATATATTACAAACCTGATGTTGTTTATAACAAGATAAAAGTTCCATAAGAACATTCAACAATGCATCCTTATCATGGATATTCCATTTTGCGAGACTAGGTACTGCAGTGGATAACGTATCAATGTTAACATCCATTAAAAAAGTGTCATCATTAAATATAAAGTCAGGGCCCATTTCAGGGCATTGCGAATCAAAAAATACATTCCATGTTAGAGTTTGTCTAGCGTATGGAATAGATAACTTAAAACGATCTCCTTTTACTTTGTCACAACTAGATGATACAGATTCAATTTGAATTGTTCCACAGCATACTCCTTGAGAAGAAATTAAAGTACAACATTATAAAACTTGCAACGCACGTTACGGGACTGGAGATATTTATATAAACAAAATGTTATTATGTTAAATAAAATGTTACTCTTACCAAGTTTATTAGCTTCTAAGGTACGTTTTAAAAGTGGCTCGATAAACGAATCTGTATGATGTAAAATATTATATTGCTGGTTTAACATTTTGATGGTTCTGTTTTATATAATTAAGGTCTCATAAACAATCATAGCAAATATTCTCCCAACAATGTAATGATTTATTGTATTGTTTTATATTGTAACCAGCGACGACAGACAGCCCGTCAAACACTGTCTATTCGACTCTCAACCAATAATTAGTTACCGAAATGAATTCTATTTTACATAATAATATTTATTAGCATCGCCAGATGGCAATATAATCTCTGTCCCAATACGACCTTCGTAGCACTGTCGGTATTCTTTGTCTACTGGTTTGAGCGTTTTGCCACGGATGGCGTTACCAGTCAAAACTAGATTTTTTTTACGAGCAGATAATTCTTGCCGTTATGTGCATTAAATAGCATGATCAAAACGGCAAGAATTATTCAACGCACTGTTCTTAAAATCAGTGCCAATACAAAATACTCAAATGGAAAAAATATAATATTAAATCATTTGATTGGATTGCATTATTATTATTGCATGTTCAACTAGCTGAGTGTCACCGCATTAAGCAACATTATTTATAATATAAAAATCTTTTCAAATAATCATAGATCAATATTAATAATAATCGGCATTATTTTTAATATAGAAATATTTTCAAATAATCATTGTTTATCTGAGTGAACTACAGTAATTCGACAGTGACCCCAATGACATTCAACGTGCTAATGATATTCTATATCATATAATAAAAAAGGAAGTTTAATAACCTGCTCACAGTTGTAAACAAATATTTAATTACATTTTACACAGTTTGTGTTGAATCATTATATTTCTTAAATAACTCGTGAGAAGCGCAGGTTGTCGTCATCAGTGGAGGACGCAATCATTACATTAAAAGGTAGATCGTCCCGAAAAATGATCTTTCAAACACTGTTCTCTTTATCATCGATCAATTCTATTACTTTGTACCTATTCAACACGTTGAATGACGCACGATTTGAATTAAATCATTTCTTTGAATCGCATTATTATTATTGTACGTTGATCTAGCTGAAGGACACCGCAATAGGTATCATTATTTATAATATAGAAATATTTTCAAATAATCATCGTTTAAGTGGATGAACTATAGTAATTCGATTTGATTAGGAGTCACCGGTGACCCCCATGACATTCAACGTGTTAAAAACGTAATAGTAATTATTCAATTACCCTTTCATTTTAGGAGAGTGGAAAATGGAGACGGATATACAATTTCTCTATAAAACAGGCAGCTTCGTGTTACCAACGTCGCCTTATCGTGTCGCAATAAGTGCGAAACAAGTGCCATGTACATGCGTAACACGTTTCACATTTGAAAATGTGGAAATTACTCGATCTCTTGAAAATTACTTAACACGTTTGCTACCAACGCTTATTTCGCTGACGGTCTCATATTTTCTTCAATCCAATAAATCTAAACAAAACATTAGAAGCATGAAATTGAAACGAGTCATTGAGTTCCTAAATACAATGTAGTTCACAATTTCTAATAACAATATCCATAGGATTAATTTCATTTTCATTATGCAAATTACAGGATTACAGCCATCACGAATACGTGACGCTGGTAGCGAACGTGTTAAAAGTAAATTAATATTCCTCTTCATCTTCGGTGTTGGCAGCGTCTTCCTGGACCTCGCGATAATCCAATTCCAAAGCTGCCAGATCCTCCCTGGCCTCCGCGAATTCACCCTCCTCCATACCTTCGCCGACGAACCTACAATAGAATTTTTTTAACGAATTACACCTTCACTTCTATTACTTCCACTCTGGTAAATGAAAGTAGATGAAATTCACCAATGAACAAACGCCCTTTTGGCGTACATGAGGTCAAACTTATGGTCAATCCTAGCCCAAGCGTCGACTATCGCTGTCGTGTTGCAGAGACAGCACACGGCCCTTTCTACCTTTGCAAGATCACCTCCTGGCACTATAGTGGGCGGCTGATAATTGATTCCCACCTATCAACATGACAATACATATCAACACATTCTACAACGCTTTTCACCCTTTAAACCTCGAGTTTCAAATTTCCTTTCGAACCCTTCGCGAGCTTAATATTTCTCTACTAAATTCTTTTTATAAGAACCTTGAAACCGGTGGGACACCATTCGACGAATTGAACGTGCTTCTGCCGTTTGATCATGGCGATCGCCGCGTTCACGTCTTTGGGAACGACGTCTCCCCTGTAAAGCATGCAGACCGCCATGTATTTGCCCCTGCGAGGGTCGCAGTTCACCATCTGATGGTTCGGTTCGAAGCAAGAATTCGTGATTTCTGCGACTGTGATCCTCTCGTGGCCGGCTTTCTCAGCAGACATAACCGGCGCGTACGTTGCCTGCGGAAGCTGGTATTAACGATCACGTAATCCTGTATGAAACGATTGAAATGCGACTTACAAGGGGGAAATGAATACGGGGATACGGGACCAGGTTCGTTTGGAACTCGGTGAGGTCGACGTTCAAGGCGCCATCGAAGCGCAGGCTCGCCGTGATGGAGGACACGATCTGCCCGATCAGACGGTTCAGATTCGTGTACGTCGGTCTGTCGATGTTCAAGTTTCGCCTGCATAATTCGTAAATAGCCTGTGGAACACGTGTGATTATCGAGCAATTGGTTAATCGCACTGTTGCAAAGGGTTAATGGCAGTCAACGCGTTAAAAATCTCTCTTTGCAATAAAATCAACCTGTGACGAGTATACACGGAGAACTAAAGCAAAACGGAAAAGAATGTTTATTTAAAAGAATACATAATCAATCGTTGAAGAAAGTTAGTATTTGGATGTCAAACACAGTTTGATAACTGTACAGAAAAATGGTCAAGATTCTCGTGGCAGTTAACGTAACTGGTGGACAATAAAATCGCATCGCGACGTTTCCTGCTGCAACGAACAATCGAGATCAATTATGGTAGACATTGAATGAATGAATATACGAACTTGATTATCAACTATGAAGGCCACCTCGCAGTGTTCTAGGGTTGGATGTGTGTAAAGAATCGCATTGTACGGTTCCACGACGGCGGTCGATACCTGTACAAGTAGACAACTTTTACACGTGTTAGAAACAATACGCACCGCACAAAATGGCACCGATTCGAACACGCTTCGTACCTGCGGCGCTGGATAGATGCTAAACGTTAGCTTGCTTTTCTTTGGATAATCAGCGGAGAGTCTTTCCATTAACAGACTCGAGAACCCAGATCCCGTGCCGCCACCGAACGAGTGGAAGATTAGAAAACCTTGTAAACCTCTGCACTGATCTGTCAGCCTCCGGATCCTGTCCAGAGTGAGGTCCACGATCTCCTTTCCTGCGGCGTATCGTTCGTTCGAACGATCGGAAACAAACAACTACTAGTTACCTTATTTTTCTATTGTTTACACAACGCGTGATCGTTCACTTTGCCTCAGTTCAAATTAGTTCGAATTAAATGGTGAACTTAAGACTTTCTGTTTGTCTAACGCAATTTTTTCATTTATGCGTCGCCTAAATGGAGAGCAAAGCAGAAAGAGCTCCGCGTTTAACGTGTTAAAGATGCTTTTGAAAGAGATCGTTTTCGGGAATTATCGTTCGAACGTGCGTTTTGCTACTGTGCACACCCTATTCGAGAAGAAAACTTTTACAAGAAGAAGCGCACCTATCGTGTAATGTCCCCGCGCGTAATTGTTCGCAGCGTCTTCTTTTCCTGTGATCAACTGCTCCGGATGGAACAGCTGCCTATATGTTCCTGTGCGGACTTCGTCTAAAGCAACATGACAAATTTATCAATTACCATTATATCCTTTGTTTTTTACTTTTAGCATCTGCACAATTAGCGAATCTGATAGAAAACTCGAGTCTGATTGTTCGAAGATAAAGAAAACTCAAATGTTTCGCGACACATTCAAGGAACTTGCCTACTACTGTCGGCTCGAGATCAACGAAAACTGCCCTCGGCACGTGTTTCCCCGTGCCTGTTTCGGAGAAGAAGGTGTTAAACGAATCATCCCCGTAACCGACGGACGTATCACTGGGCATTTGTCCATCCGGTTGGATCCCGTGCTCTAAACAGTATAATTCCCAGCAGGCGTTACCCATTTGGACGCCCGCCTGTCCAATATGGATAGATATGCACTCCCGCTGTAAACATTTGCAAATAAAGCCATCGGACGATTCCATTAGCGTTAATTTCTACTATATCAGCTTCTGATACTGCACCATCTTCGCCATTCTTATGTTATCTAGTTCCTCCAGCTTGATCAATTGACGTAAACTTCGCGAAAAGAATATACGTTCAAGGGACACTTAAACTTTATTTAGCTGTTAGTTTTGTAGAACTATCAATATCGAAATGCAAACTTCAACTTTGAAATATAACGGTTCAGGCATCGGTTGTACGAGATTGAATGAAAAGGAAAATTTGAAAACGTTTCCAGAACGATGAAGGAAACTAAAGGTTGAGAAGGGAAATATATATCACTGATGATGAGTTCTAAGCAGAATAATATTCTTTGACCAACGAGGATCAGTGTAGAACTTGTTCGAAACGTTAATTGATCGAATGAAAGATTTAAAACAACATTATTCGAACAATTCGCAGTTCGATCGTGAAGCGAACGGCACTTGGCGCGCGACGGGGCCGATAAAATGGCGTCTGCCTCGGCGTCGCGGAATTAGGCACGTGCCAAGTCACCCAGCAAAGGATGATCGCAAACTGGCATATTGAAATTCCATCGACGTGAAGCATCGTTACACCTGTCAGCAAGTCGCGAAGCTTTATTACCTTGACCTGCCAATGTCTCGGCTTAATAATTCAGCCGTACCCTAAAATGGAACGTCTCATCGTTTCAACCGCGAGTATAATTCGCTGCTGCGCACAGGCATCAAGAATCATAGAGGCTTCTGATGTATCACTCGTTCTTTACAGCGTATGTCGTGACAAATCGATTTTATACAGGTTGACACATTGTAACCATAGCAGCTTGAACGAACACCGATAAGCCTGAGACACGATTTCACCATTGGCATTTGAAAATTCTCGGAACCGATCTAAACGAGGAATTAATTCAAAACGGGGTTGTTTCGTATAGCTATCGTTTGTTTTTCCATTGTTCCATTTATCGACCGTCGGACTCGAATCTTTATGAATCTATTATAACTGATTATCTCAAATTATAGTTTACGCTTCTAATTAATCCCTTCATTAGAACCGATGGCAAAATATTGGACATCGCGGGCATTGACCGAGAAGTTTTATATTTTAATCTTAAAAAGTCTCGTGTTCGTTTGGAAGAAAGTATTTGTTTGTCTAATATATATAATAAAGGAATTGTTAAAATATCAGTTTAATTATTGAAGCTTCTTATTCGTTCAGCAATGAAATTAAATATTGATACTCGAATCAAAGCGCAGCCACGGCTGCGGTTAAGTCGAAATTCGATCTGTTTCTCTGTAAAATATTTACTGGACTTTAATGCGCCTGCTTACTATACGTTTCGCCGAAGTAAGTTTAGATACTATTTTAGACGTAATTCACTATCAACAGTTCCTTAATAGGCCTATTGTTTTTTAATCGCGGTGCATACGATGTCTTGGCTATACTTAGTTGAATCGTACAATTTAAGAACTATTACCTAGAGCAACAGTCATAAAAAATTGTGTATCTCCGTTGGATTCATTGATTTTAATTCAAAACTTTCGCGATTGACAATATTCTTGTTCGATGTTTTAATATGTGTATCATTTTCCAAAGTGAGATATTCAAATGGGCTACTATTTTCTAAATATTTATAATTTACAAATAAATCATTGCAACTGTTAAACTGTTGTTAATATAACGTATTATTATGATGCTCACCATTGTTATCGGCGCGAGGATAGGAAACGTGTCAGAACGTACCACGATGTAACTACTGTCTGCCTTAGTGGACGGTCAGATCACTATGATGCGCCATATTATTACTCGCAAGTATATAATATCTGTTTCAGCCTTCGTAGGTGACAAACCTAACGCTATAGTATTCGCGACAATTGGTATATATATAAGATTATGCTTCTGCGGCAGTGCAAGCACGGTTCGTTAATTGAAATTGAACGATTTAATACCGCCTCGGATTCTATACTTTCGTTTGGAGCAACATGTAAAATCTATGCTTCCATGATTAAATATACGAAACGTTATAAAACATTTAAATTACACTGAGAGTTTCGAACGCTTGAAATATACTTAATTATATAATAAACGATTAAATAAAATTAAATGTAGCGATTTTAAAGTTATAATTTATTATAGTAACGTAGTATATAAAATAGAAAAGATGATAGTATAAAATAATGTATACACTGTATATATAATGCTTGCATTTACTTTTTATCTACTAAATACTATTATTTTTATGTCCTTTCGGACTCGATAGAGTAATTAACTGTACTCTCCTTGGAACTTTAGCAGGAATGGTCGAATGTGTGTCCGATTCTTTCGATGTGTTCTTTGTATTGCCTATTACATCTTTACTTGTACTCTCGTCGTTATAGATTAATTTGATGTCTTCAGTTTCTTCGATATCTGTTTGGTTATTTAGCTTCTGCTCTTGAACTGTAACTTGGTTCAATTTATTACTTTCTTCTTCCGCATTTCCTGAATCCTTAAGATCTTCTGTCTTTTGGGTTACTGAGATATCGATATCCATTGCATTGTTATCTATGTCAATGGCCGATAGACGTTTGGTTACATCATTCGTCTTACTCGATACTGCTGATTTTTTACAATTACTATTATCTGTGTGTTTCATCGGTGTCTTAAATTCGCCTTTGTACTCTGTACCTAATTCTCCTTTTTGGAAGCGTATTATAGAACAATAACCATCTGTTGAAGATACTATCAAAATTCCACCATCACTTGACCTGTGAAATTAGAACAATATAAATGTATTTGCGTTTTTAGAATAAATTTACAAAACAAATGGAATAATTGTTATTCACCATGAAACGTCAGTTAATCTGGTATAATGTATATTTGATATTACAGCGATCGGTGATATTTGTTGCGTGTCGTATATGAATACAGAATGCTGTGTAGCAACAGCGAATACTATTCTATAAGGTAATGCAATCATAGAAGTTGGACCATTTTCTTGCAGTTCGAAGTAAATGGGACAACATCTTACAGCTATGGTACTTTCGTCCAAAGATGGCAGAAGCATAAGTGGCCTAAAAATAAAACAATAAAATATGTCACAAAAGTGTGAAAATAATAAAATGTGCTACAAAAGATAGGATATCTACTCTTTTAGATTGTGTCTTGAAAAGACTATGGTTGCATTGGATATTCTCTCTGTAGTTTCTAATGGATCTATTATACCAGATGGTACAATAATTAACATTCCATCTAATGAAAATGTTAGTCTTCTAAAGAATGATTTAAATGTATCATCATAAAACAGACGCACTGTTTTATCTTTTAATGGATGATCCGGTGGTGTTGGAATCTTAGCTTTATAAACTCGCTGCACTGTCTTTTTTGTATTTATGTCAATCAAACGACATATCCTAAAAATATACAGTAATATTAATAACAGCGAATATTGATATATTTTCAAAGAAATCTATAACACACCTATCTGTACTTATCGTACATATATATTGATTGCAAGGATCCCAAGATACTCCTTGCACAAAACCTTTATGTTCAGTCAATATAGCCGTAGAACGTCCTTTATGAATATCCCATAAAATTGCTGTATTGTCTACAGAACCTGAGACTAACATATTAGAGTCTGGGGACCAACTGATATCATAGACATCTTCTAAATGTCCTCTTAATACCTTCCAAGACATCCATTGCTCCTTATTCTCAGCATCATCGGATATAATGTGGAACTCACAATCCTCCTTTTGTTTCCATAAAAGAATGGTTGACTCTGATAATAAAAGTATACTTAAATTCCAGTAAGTTTCTAATTAATCTAATTAAGTGTATGATTACAAACCATCGTCACCAGAAGCCAAAATTTCTTTAGAAGGTGAAAACCTAACAACATTCACTGCTTTTTGATGTCTTTCCAAATCTGCTACACATTTTACGTTTGCACCTCCAAATTCATTTGTTATTATATACCATATCTGGTAAAAAAAAAGAGAGTGATTATATGGTTAATTTTCTGTAATACATTCACTACAAGAACTATTTAGAAATACGGACAAACAGTTTCTTATATAATTAATAAAAGAATATTACCAAAACGTGAGAATCAGCACCACCGGTTGCAATGCGCCAAAACGTTTCGCCTTTCGATGTTTCATAAATTCCGGCCTGCACGTCAATACTCAGAACTGGATCACGATTATGCCATGAAATTTCGGGAGTTGTACACCACATAATGTTAGTCTCGAAATGTAACAGACGATAATTTAAAAATACAACAGTAGTAACATTAATTGGACCTGTATCGTCTAACCTTTCTCAAGCTGTCAGATTATTCCCGCCAAAACATATCAATTTTTTAAGTCCAATAGAAATCGGTTTATTGCCATTTTAATCAAATTTGAATTGTGTTCAGGTTATAATATTCCTGATTTTCATTGAAGAATTAAAGTTAATTGAATTCTCTCGACTAAATAATAATGAAAATAGAAAATAATAATAAAAGAAAGTACCTACGTTATGAGAATCTGTAAGAAAGCTAAATTATTTAAAATATTTTTATTACGAGACACACACTTGGACAGATTATTTTCAAGTTTATTCGTTTATTATTATTAATCAAATTTGTTCAATAACAAACGGTTGAAATGAAAGAAATAATGATTCAATTAAATATATAAACACATAAACATGATAAAATTTGTACTAGAAATAGTAAATCATACTTCTATCTATTATACGTTTCCATAAAATCGAGTTTCAAAATTGAAAATTTTAATGAACACATGCGAATTAATTAAGTATGTATGTTACAGTATTTATTTCGAGTTTCAACAGTAGATTAGCAATTGAAAATGATTTCAAGTTCATTGTCATAAAGCACGTGATTCAAGACGTGTATCGAACATCCGGTCCATGTAACTCCCTCTGAAAACGTATAGAGAATCCATCTGAAACAATCTGAACACAAAAATGGTGGATACAGAAAATGATAGTCAAGAGCGGAAAGAACTAAATGTTACAGAAAACATGGATGGTAATCAACAAAACGGAGAACTAGTTCCTACGGAAAACAATGAGGAAAGAGATGTGTGTAAATTACATATTGTTTCGTATTCTGTCTATTACACCCATTTATTGTCTTCGTAAAAAACGTTTGTCGTTTTACTCGAAAGTTATTGCATGTAGTTTCATTATTCTGTGTTTTACTCGCCTTGTTTAACTGAAATATAATTTGTTCAATTAACGGGAATCCAAATTCAGGATTTCATTTATTTTGCTTACGAAAATCTAACAACACGCCCATGGTTATTTAGTGGCACGATAAATACGATATAAATATTCATAGCAACCTGTTTAGAAATGACGATTATGATGATGACGCATATTTTGAGTTGTAGTTTTTATGATATCGTTTAACATTAGTTTCCAATTTGTTACACAGGTGAATGCAGAAGTTGATGAACAGAGGAAAAAATATCAGCCTTCACAACTGGAGTCATTCTTTGCAATTACAAAATCTCTGATCATCCGTGCTCTTATTATTTATTTTATCAGCTTCCTCTTCAAACGTCCTCAGCCTAGTGCAGCTATAAATATATTTGAAAATGGAACATCGTTCGATTTGCACGTTTATTTATCAGAATCTGAAAATTTTGAGCAGTTCGATGATCCAAGGAAATTAATATGGATGGAGCAAGGACTAATATACGGGGATTGGTATAGTGGGCCTACTAAAGATGGTCAGAGAGTTACAGAATATAAATTTACGCCGTCGGATCAACTAAAGAATAATGGATCTATATATCTTCATGTATATGTTACGAAAAGTGGAAAGTCCCCTAATCCAAAAGCAGGAAAAAACATCTATGCTGGAGATTATATGTCATATTCTAAAAAAATGTTAAATAAATATAAAAAGATCAGGTATCAGAAGAAACATAATTTGTTGACTGGTGCCAATATAGAAGAGAGTGAGGTATGTATATATTAGGAATGTAACATCACAGACAATACGTGAAACCAAAAACTTAAAAAAATCTTACAAAGTATCTTATGAATATAATAATATATTTTTGTAGAAAGATGAATTAATAAATCAGGAGAGTGTGTCTCATTGGCACCCCAATTTAACCATTAATTTGGTAACTGATCAAACTAATTGGGCATATGGTCAAGTTCCACCAATATTAGATACATGTGAGTTTACTTTTTAAACACTGTAAAATAAGATTTGAAAAAAGATTAATGTTGTTTTTCTTTTCTATTTATTTCATAGATATCCACTTTTTACCTGGAGGTATGCTTTATAAACCTGTAATATATATGAATGACTTTTGGAATATGCAAAGAGATTATCAGCCCTTGAATGATACTGTGAAAGAACTGGAACTGCGATTAACTTATCAGCCTCTATCATTATTCAGATGGCAAATTTATGCAGCTCAAACATCTAAAAATAAGTGGACAAATCCATTCTCAGGTACATTGAATTATTATGATAATTTGTTATGAAAAGTATAAATATATGATATTGACGAGATTTTTTTTACACAGGAGATTCGACAGATGAAAATGACAGCGATCAAGATACTTTGAAAGAGACATTGTTAGAAACGAATCCGTACTTGCTGGGCTTGACTCTAATTGTAACAGTATTACATAGTGTATTTGAATTTTTAGCATTTAAGAATGGTAAGATACAATTTGCTTATAAGTATATAATTAAATTCCCTGAATCTACTGTACATTCTTGTTACATTTTTTTTTCTTTCAGATATTCAATTCTGGAACAATCGCAACTCTTTGGAAGGTCTATCGGTTCGATCTGTATTCTTTAATGTTTTCCAATCGTTAGTTGTATTATTATATGTTCTTGATACCGAGACGAATACAGTTGTTCGGATTAGTTGTGCAATAGGTTTATGTATAGAAGTATGGAAAATTAATAAGGTAATAGATATTAGCATAAATAGGACCTCGAAATTTCTTGGTGTCTTTCCAAAACTTAGTTTCCATGATAAAGGATCGTACATAGAATCTTCCACGAAAGAATACGACAGACTTGCTTTTAGATATTTATCATGGGCTTTATATCCTCTTGTAGGAGGATATGCGATTTACTCGTTAATGTATTTAGAACATAAAGGATGGTATTCTTGGGTTCTCAGTATGCTGTATGGATTTTTATTAACGTTTGGATTTATCATGATGACACCACAATTATTTATTAATTATAAATTAAAAACCGTAGCACATCTTCCATGGCGTATGTTGACCTACAAATTTTTAAATACATTTACCGATGATATTTTTGCATTCGTTATAAAGATGCCAACATTATATAGAATTGGCTGTTTCCGCGACGATATAGTTTTCTTCATATTTTTATACCAAAGATGGATATACAAAACTGATCTTTCAAGGGTAAATGAATTTGGATTTTCCGGGGAGATGGAAGATAAAATATCTAACGATAAAAAAGTAAAAGCTATTAAAGATAATCCGAAAAACGAAATAGCTAAAAAGAACGAGTAACATATGGTGCATAATGTTAACGTTGAGTATATTATTCGAACTTTATCTGAATTTAATGAACTTATTAGTACCAAAGGATACATCTACACGCATTTCCGTGTATCTTTGTGAATTTGATATAACTGCGTGTGTATGTACATATTCTTTTGGTTTTGAAATTTAGTCAAATAAACAAAGCCTTGCGAAAATATTGGCATTCTTACGATTAAGAATGTTAATACACGTTGCACTAGGCGAAATACTATCAGGCTAAGTTTAGTACGGCCCATAAAGAATTTTGTATGCTCCTTTAAGAAATTGTTATCACCAGAATTTGTGGTTAATTTTTCATTTTCCATGCTTTGTAGTTTGTTGTCGTCTTGTACGATATTGGACAGATATAATGTTCATTTTAATATTTAAGAAATATTTCAGGATGTTATTCCGTATTCATACGAAGAAAAAATGAAAATCGTCCGAATTACATATGGGTATATGTACAGATGTTTGGTTGAATATTTTAAACAGTAAATCATATATGTATTTTGCAGGCATAGTCAAAGATCGAAGTATTTCTATAGCGAGAACGTGGAAATAAAATGAGCTATATTTTTAATATTGATATCGTATATAAATATATAATTCATAATGATTCAATTTATTACATAAAATATTATTACTGCTTAATATTATAATTAGTAACTTTTGAAACTTAGTTTTTGATAAATAATCTTTGTGCATTCCACTAATAAATTATGAACGTTGTTAATGCAATGGCAATATATTTAGAAACTAATGTTACTAATACATAGATGTTGAATGTACTGAATTTCTGTCCCATCAGGTGGTACATGGTTCCATTCCTTTATGAGTAATGTAGACTTTTAATTACAATTCGAGTAATTAAATATAATCACTAATATAAATGATGTATCTTTTTTATTTCCACGTTTTACTATAAAAATACTTCTGTTCCTCATTAAATATGTATTCATAGTAAAATTGGAACAATGTGATTTTTTGCGGTAAATATTGTTATATACAAAACTACTGCAAAATATTATTGAAGAGAACGATATGTAAATTTTAGATGAACAGAGGCTTGCGTAATGCAAATACCAAAAGTTAAATTATGATCGCTCTTAGACACAATTATAATTATTGTTTTTAATAAATCAATGTCTTCAACAAATGTTTAATAATTTTGTCATGTATACTTATGAATTACTTTTAAGTTTTACCTTATGTAATTTATACCCTTTGAATACAATAGAACGTCGATTACTCGAGTTAATTGGGAAATGAACTCGTTCTGATACGTGATTTCTTGGATAATTGATCCGAAGAAATCAAATTTGTGAACGTGTTATAAATTAAATGGAAATTAAACAGTTTTCAAATGTACTTTCACTTTTTATTATATGGCCGATACTATTTCATTTATTGTCCAATTTCAGTAGTACTGTTCTCCTTCTAACACTCATGGTATATACGAGAATCGTGAGATGAATTATATGAATGAAAATGCTGTCCGCAAATTCTGTTATTTTCAAAATAAATTTGCTCAATATATAAATATATAAATACTTTGTATTTGAATAATATCGATATAATGGTGGTACAGACGTTTCGTTTACTAAAAAGTAAATGATTATAATAAAATGGATTACTGATATTTATTAAGATTAGATTACATAATGTTAAAAAATAAAGATTAAAGTCTTTATTACTATGTTTCATTTGTATGAACAATAATACTTCGTAAATGTAGGCAAAAAAGTTACATTCTTGTTCGCTTTAACGTAAGATGTTCTTTAATACGTTTCCCCTCTCATTGATTGCTGTTATAAAATTTCACAAATTTAATATTGTACCGTTATTGCAGAATTCATATTGTTTTGAAGAACTTGAAACAACTATTTTCTTTTTGTACAAAAGCAGTATAATAGTGAGTATGTACTAGAGGTGTATAAACAGTCTAAGGTA